AATAGGAAGTGAGTCGTCCTTGGCCTCCTATTTCCACTCCTAAAAATTAATTTGATGTAAAAAAAATGTGTATTGCTTTAGTAAAACAACAACAAAAAAGATGAAAATAAAACAGTGGCTCTCCTTTTTGTACCTGGATAAGGCCTAACCTTAGCAAAGTTATCTTAGTTCTTAGAAGATGAAGGGCTGATGTCTGTTTCTTCCTACCTCTGAGACATGAATGCTTTGAAGGTATGTAGCAAAATCTTYCAGATTTGGGCACACTTAAGATGCACAAACTAAGCCTTGGGAAAACTGGGGCCATAGAAAGTGAGAATGAAGCTGAGTTAGTGCTTTCTGCATACAAGTATTGAGTAAAAAGTATACTGATTAAGATTTCAGAAATGAAAAGTGTACAGTTATCTTTTATAATAACTCTGTTCCAGAAGTTTCTACTGGACTTCCTTTTTAACTTCGTAAACTTCACATGTCCTTATTTTCTTTAATAAATGGAGATTACCAAGTGGCTAAAAGCATGAGCTCTGATGTCTGCCTGGGGTTGAATCTTTGCTCTTGCTCTTACCAGTTTGAGTGACACTGGTTAAATCTCTTTCTATGAAATGTGGATGATAACTACTGCTATAGATCATATAAACATTGCCAACACACATGGTTAGTGCTCTCTCACATAAATACAAGCTATTACAATTAACACTTCACTTCCTAGAAGGTGTTTTTTACAGTTTTATCACTGGGTCATCTCATTTGCTCTTCTTAGTACACCTTAATTATATAAATTAGGTTTAAGAAGTTAATACGTTTTGGATAACACATACTTACAATTTATTCATATTTTAAATTTAATAGTCTTTATTGATAATCTCCTCCAGAGAGCTAGAAAAGGATCCTTGAGCTGGAAGAGAGGTTGGTTCTTGCAGAGTGGTAAAAGTTGGCAGCAAAGGACGGGATCAGGGCTGGGGCTGTAGCTCAGTGGCAGAGCACTTGCCTAGCATGTGTGAAGCACTGGGTTCCATCCTCAGCACCACATAAACAAATACAGGCATTCTGTCCATAACCAACTAAAAAAAATTTTGCGGGGGGTTGGCGGGGGTGGGGGGAAGAGTCCAGGGATGATGAGTCATTGTAGACAAATACTGACACTATTGTTTTAGATGTTCAGATTTTGCAACGTTTTCCTGGGCATGGCAAATTCCCTTTCCTAATGATGGAAAGCCACATTCTTACTATTGAGACTAATATTGTGAGATGTTTACTTTATCCCCTTGTACCTTTAAGGCTGAGATGGCTGGAAAACAGTTTGATCCTCCACACTGGCTGAACTGCTATCTTTGGTGGGTTTTGTGAGAGTTGACACTGGTCAAGAAAGTAGTATTCTGAGAACTGCAGTCAATTTTGGAAAGACTTAAATGRGTATCCTCTAAATCCCTAATTCCTTGTTACCTTGGTGATAACCCCTTAATAACCTCACTTAAAGGAGTTGCCTTGGAGAAAAGCACACATGCCCTATATGTACAATCCCTTATTGTCTCAAAGACACAACAAAGATGCTGGAGAAATAGCTCAGTTGGTAGAGTACTTGCCTCACATGCACAAAACCCTGGGTTCAATCCCCAGCACCACACACACACACACACACACACACACAAAGACACAACACAGTTTGAGTCTGATCTGAAAACTTCAATATATTTGTGTGTGTTGCTGGGGATTGAGCCGAGGGCCTTGTGCATTCAAGGGAAGCCCTCTACCAACTGAGCTATATTCCCAGTCCCCTTGATCATATTGATGATATGTAGAATAACTGTGGAAATAGATTTTGAGTATATAAGGCCTTACTTTAAGGCAAGAACATGATTTAAAATTGCACCAAATTATCAATATTAGTGTACTGCTGTGGTTTGAATGTTTTTCCCCAAAATTCCTGTTGAGAACTCCCCAGAGTTCTGCCAATGGTATTTGGAGGGGAGAACTTTTGGAGGTGACTAGATCATGGGAGCTCTGCCAGCAGGGATGGACTCACTCATGGATTGAATTATTGAGTTATTGAGGGAATGGCTTTGTTATGTGAGTTCTCTGGCACACTTGCTGTCCCTCATCATGCTGCCTTCTGCCACATTTTGATGCARAAGCAAGGCTCTCACCAGATGCCAAGATGCTGGCACCATGCTCTTAGACTAGCCAGCCTCCAGAATCACAAGTTGAATATATCTCCATTCTTTAAAAATTACCCACCTGTAGTACTGTTAGAGCACCAGAAAACTTACTAAGACAAGTACACCTATAGTAGAGATTCTGGCTTAGTTTGTGAACTTGAACAAATTGGAGTGGTTCTGMTCACTTGATTGAAGGACATTTGATTCAGCAATGGCTCATCTAAATTGGAAGTGAACTGCTAGAAATTCACTGATACAATGAAGGAAATGAAAGACACACTATGTGGAGAAGATTTAATATATGTGATCCTTTAGCTATTTTTCCCTTATCAGAAGTCTAGCCAATTGATGCATAAGTAAGGGTCTCACCAGATGCTGGCACCATGCTTAGACTAGCCAATTGATGGCTAACTCTTTACAAAGGCATTAAGAAAAAGTACTGGTGAACAAAGCACCTGCATTCTAGATAAGATTTAGAGTATGTCTGTAAGCTAGGGCAGTGGGAGATGCTTCAGTTAAAATGGACTCCCCGAGTCAATGTGCTTTGTCAAGATTAATGTGTCTTGAAACAAATTATAGTCATTCATTGCTTGGCAATGAAGATGCACTCTGGGAAGTGTGTTAGGTGATTTCTAGGTGGTGCAAACATCAGAGAATGTACTTACACAAACTGAGATAGTATATACTAAGTTGATAATTTGATGCAGCTTCTTGATGCAATCAAGAAGCACAGTAAACACAAGGTCTACAAAGCTGCTGCTGGCATAACATGGCATACTGTTTTACAGTGAATTTTTTTTAAAATAAGTATACTCTAAAACAATGATTCAGAGTACAGTAAATACATAAAGCAGTAACACAGTCTTTGATGATCATTATATCAAGTATTATACTTTAACAATTATATGTGCTCTATTTCTATATGACTGGCAGCGCAGGTTTGTTTACATCAGCATCACCACAAACATGTATGTGCTGTGCTATGTTACACTAGCTATGATATTACTAGGCAAGAGGAATTTTTCAGCTCCATTACATTATAGAACCATCATTGCATACAGTCCATTGTTGACTGAAACATCATTATGTGGCACATGAGCATAGTTCACTTAATTGCTAGTCTAGAAAAGTGGGAAAGTTACTATAATAGGCAGCAGGACTCACAGGACAATCAGTAGAGTCTAACACAAAGTTTGGCCTAGGATAATTGATCAATTGATGTACAGAATCAAAATAGACTCCATGGTCCTATTTATGTAATTAAAAACCACAGGTCTGGTGTGAGCCATTCTAGTACTCTTCCAATATGCAGGTCTGATTTGTTTCACATTCCTGGATCCCTGAAAGGACCCTGAATAACATCACAAGTATGTAATATGTATTTATCTCTTAACCTTCTCCAAAGTAACCCTGTGGCCCTTTACTAGAGTAATTATGCAATGCAGAAATTCTTAGACCTTGTGGGATTACTTCTTGAGTTAATTCTAATTTCTGTGCACCAGAACACCATACATCTATTCAGAGTAGAGCCTATTGGAAGTCAGCATGGTAAAAGGAGCTTTGACAAGTTCACCACAATAAATCCCAAACCTTTGGTTACTTCTTCCATTTCCTGAGTACTAAGATAAGCAACTAACAGTTAACACACACTAGTTTCCTAAAACAAGTTTCTTATTTTTTTTTTTTCCCCAGTGCTGTGGATTGAACCCACCAGGGAGTCATAAGTTCTGGGCAAATATTCTATCACTGAACTACAACCCAGCCCTCTTTTCTTAAATTTTAATGATGGGATACAATTGATGTCACTTTACAATGCTGCAACATTGGTAGTGTCTCAAATTACTACTGTTGTTAAGGGAACAAGGTTGCTAATGTTAGAACTTGGTGGAATTTTTAAGTATTTCCTTTTCAGGTTGATGTAGGACCTTATCAGTTTCAAACTACTTTCTATTAAACATTTTTACTGGGGGAAAATGTGCATTTATTATGTGAAGCTAATACACTATATGTGTATTTTAGATAATACTAAGTTCCATATTTCTATATCAGATAAAGCTTCTTGCATAAAACCCAATTCAGCATGTCATTCTGAGACACATTTAGCAAAATCTGAGACAGATGTTCAATTTAACATGTACTAAGTCAGATAATTAAAAATGCTGGTTTGCTTCCTTTTTCTTTTTGTTCTTTTTCTGGTAATGGGGATTGAACCTAGGGAAACTTTTACCACTTACTGGGCTACATTCCCAGCCTTTTTTATTTCGAGACAGGGTCTTGCTAAATAGCCAACGGCCTCAAATTTGTCTTCCTCCTAAGCTGCTGGGATTACAGATATAAGCCACTGCACAATAATTTTACTTCTAATTAAACAAAARAGGAGGAAACAATAACACTTATTTTTGTGTTCATTTGGAAGTTATATTTTTTTAACATTTTTTTGTTGWAGGTGGACACAATATATTTATTTTTATGTGGTGCTGAGGATGGAACCCAGTGGCTCATGTATGCTAGGTGAGCGCTCTACTTCAGAGTCACAACCCCAGCCCTGTAAGTTACAATTTTTTTTTTAATGTTTATTTTTTTTTTTTAGTTTTTGGCGGACACAACATCTTTGTTGGTATGTGGTGCTGAGGATCGAACCCGGGCCGCACGCATGCCAGGCGAGCGCGCTACCACTTGAGCCACATCCCCAGCCCCTGTAAGTTACAATTTTAAGTGGCAAAAGGTGTGAAGTTTTTTTTTATAGTCACTGAAAAAACTGTCATATTTCACCTATTTTAAAAATTTTACTGAAATGTATGACTACATTAATTGGAGAAAAGGAAAAAAGACATTCTCTTGGAAATATACAAAGAAATTTTCCTTTATTTCACTGATGACTCTGCCCCAACCATAACTGATTTTCTTTATGGCATGGGAGAGCTTTGTTTTTWTTTAATGTAGTATTTTTAAATCTTTCCGTTGTAACTGCCCCAATACCTTCATTTTAATGACTGCAAACCGTTCTTTCCCTTGAGAAATACTTACAGGTAAATATTAATTAAATCCTTAAAACAAAAACTTTGTATAGCAAACTCTTTCTTCATCTAAATTCAGAGGTGCTTTACCACTAAACTATATATCCCCAGCCCTTTTTACTTTTATTATTTTGTTTTTACCTTGATACAGGTTTTCATTAAGTTGCCGAGTTTGGCCTTGAACTTGTGATCCTCCTGCTGCAGCATCATAAATTGCTGGGATTGATAGGTATGTGCCTCTGCACCAGGCTCATCTAAAATCTCATATTCAAATTAAGCAAGAATATTGATGGAAACAAAATTTTTTTCCCAACTAATGTTTATAGTTATGTTAATCTGGGCTACTTCTATGAAAAATGTACACATAAACATGCCCTTGAAAAAAACAACACCAAAACTAAAAAAGAGTTTTATTTCTGAATGGTAGTACAACTAAGTGAATGAATAGTATACATGCATTAACTGAGGCACTTGAGATCACCCAACTTGTTTAATTTATAACAAAATCTCTCCTCATTAGGATTTAGGTACTTATATGTTAGAATGGTCTCAATTTATTTTAACAAAAATCTTTCTCTGAAGTTGAGTCATGTAGATTATATCTTGTAAGAAAATGTATTTCTTTCTCAGGCAAGTATTTAATTTCTCCAAAGCTAGTAATTTAAAAGATGAGTGTGTACAGTAGTATGATTTCTTAAAAATCGGAAAATATTTTAGTTTTGTATTCATGAAATATGAGAACCTCCTATTTTATTTAGGATTGTCTTAGTATGTAAAAGGTTTCAGCTTCATTTTGTATACGATATGTGGAAAAACAAACATGATAATCAGTTTAAGCAGAGATGTGATTAAGAATAGTAAAGGATAAGCCAGGCATGGTGGTAGTCCCAGCTACTCAGGAGACTGAGGCAGGAGGATCACTTGAGCCCAGGGGTCCACATCCAGCCTGGGCAACACAGCAAGACCCTTTCTCTTGCGGGAGTGGAGTAGGGGGAAGGAGCTGTGGTGTTTCTCAGTAGTAGAATGTTTTTGTTTGGGGCCCTGGGTTTGAGCCTCAGCACTGGAAAAAAAAAGTAAAGGACAGCTTCTACAATGTACATAAATTCCCAATACTAGGTATGTAAACCTTTCTATATTATTAAACAGTAGGGTGATCCTCAGTCAGAAACTTGGCTTTATATAAAATGTTTCCATTAAAATTTTAAATTTTCTTTAAAATAAGAAAAACTTGAAAAGCAAGGCTCCCAAACCAGCTAAGTTAGAAACTGCTAATTTTCTGAATGAAAGCAGCACTGTTTTTTATTTTTACACCACTGAATTGAAAGAATAGAAAAGAACTACAGTTGGTATAGAGAAATGTTAGATCATTTATATAGACACCTGAGAATAAACTCTACAGTTACCATCTTCTACAGCCACTTGCTTCTGCTTTGTCATTCACTGACATTTCAACCCTATCAGCTACTGTATCTTCAGATGCTGATTGGACATTGCCTTCTGACTGTCCTCCAGTGTAAGTGGGGGTGCTATATTTTAAAAGAATAGATTTAAACTGCATCAGAGGTGCATCTGTACGAACACCCATTGGGTCAAAGTGAGTTCGGCTGACTCGAAAGCCTGCTTGAGAAAGATAGCACAAAAACTTTTTCAACCTGCAATAAGGAAAAGAAAAAAGATAATTAGGTTTTTGTATTTTTATTTAGATCTCAATGTTATTAAAATATGATATATACACTTTGCCATTCACTGGCTGTCTTACTTGGGCATGTTCATTCCTTTAATGCTGTGTCTATGGATGTTATAATAAAAGGGAGGATGTTCAGTACTGACATCAGTCTTTTGCTTCTTGGCTAAATTTGTAATTATCTCATTACTTCTTCTCTTTCCTGAAATACACACAGTTAGCATTCTCTTAAAAAGATAATTTATTCTAGATATTTTATTTTATTTAAAAATTTTTTTTTCATATTTATTTTTTAGTTTTAGGTGGACACAATATCTTTATTTTTATGTGGTGCTGAGGATCGAAGCTAGCGCCCTGTGAGTGCCAGGCGAGAGTGCTACAGCTTTGAGCCACATCTCCACCCCCATAGATATTTTATATATATATATTTTTTGGTGCTGGGGATTTGAACCCAGGGCCTTGTACACATGAGGCAAGCACTCTACCAACTGAGCTATATCCCCAGCCCTTCTAGATATTTTAATTGTTACTCATGTAACTTACTTAGGACCCTAAGCAACTTAGAGTTGTATAATGAGACCCTATACAACTGTATTYTAAAGTATACACACATCCCAAAATAAGAGAAAGGCCATATAATAAATCCTTATGGCTAGGAAGTAGGGTCTTCTGGTTAATCAAATGGAATTGCCATAAATCAAATATTCATGAGCAATTTTTAAAGTATTAGAATAAAGTTTAATCCGAATGCTATAACTTTATCTTCTATAACGTAATTCTCTAGTTTTCCTAAAGGGATCACCACATTATCAAAGATGTGAAAAAAAATACCTTTTGAAATTTGGAATTGTATTAATGCTGATTAAAATAAGTTTTACTATAGTTTTTTTTTTTTTTTTAAAGAGAGAGGAGAGAGAGAGAGAGAGAGAGAGAGAGAGAGAGAGAGAGAGAGAGAGAGAGAGAGAGAGAGAGAGAGAGAACTTTTGATATTTATTTTTCAGTTTTTGGTGGACACAACATCTTTGTATGTGGTGCTGAGGATCAAACCTGGGCCGCACGCATGCCAGGTGAGTGTGCTACCGCTTGAGCCACATCCCCAGCCCCTATAGTTTTGTTGTCAGCATTATATGGTAAAAAAACCTTTTTTTCCCAGTACTAGGAATTGAACCCAGGGGTGCTCTATGTCCTCATTGAGCTACATCCCCAGCCCTTTTTTATTTTGAGACAAGGTCTTGCTAAATTGCCTAGCCTGGCCTCAAATTGCAATCCTCCTGTCCTCCTGCCTCAACCTCCAGAGTTGCTGGGACAGGTATATGCCACTGCACTCAGCCACCAATGCAATTTCTCTTTCCACCTCTGCTATATTCCTTTCTGCATGGATACATACATGTGTACTTACATACATACCTTGTGCAATATAATCTGTTGTGACATCATCTGTAGTTTTAATAAATACACCATTTTCTTCTAAAACAAAAAAAAAATGAGAAAACAGTATTTTACAGATGACATTAAACAACAATTCAAAGTTTAAATAAAAATTTATACCAAATTCCATCTTTGGGATGTGTGTGTGTGTGTGTGTTACTAGGGATTCAACCTAAGAATTTGTGTATGCTAGGAAAATACTGTACCACTGAGCTACACTGTAGCCCTTCTATATTTTTTTGGTATTGGAGATTGAATGCAGGGGTGCTTTACCACTGAGTTATACTCCCAGCCTRTTTTATTTTTTGAATCAGGATTTCACTAGTTTGCTTAGGGTCTTGCTAAGTTGCTAAGGCTGGTCTCAAACTTGTGATCTTCCTATCTTAAGTCTCCAGAGTTGCTGGGATTACAGGTGTGCACCACCACACTTGATCATCTACAGTGGGTTTTACATAGGATTTATATAGAGATTATATAGGAGACTCTGTGGCCAAAATAGGTTGTAAGAATGACATATTTTAACGTTCTATAATAGCAACCTCTTTTCACRGCTTATAAGGTAGTATATTTAGTAGACCCACTCTAATATCAACAGCCAGCTATGACTACAGAAGTCTATTTATATTGAGAAGAAAAAAAGTAACTTTACTGAGTGATAAGTACCTTCTATGTCTCAATGGATAGTACTAACATTTGTGGCCATACCATTCCTAGAATTACCTAAGGGTTCTTTCTAGAAAGTACATACAGGGTAATAAAATTTATATCTAAGTTTTCTTATTTATTTTAATCAAATAAAATTAAAAACAAAAGGGAGATTACTTGGGCTGGGGATATAGCTCAGTTGGTAGAGTGCTTGCCTAGCATGCACAAGACCCTGGGTTCGAACCCCAGCACCACAAAAAAAAAAAAAAAAAAAAAAGGGAGATTACTTTAATTAAATCATATTCATTTCAGGACCCTAAGAATAAATGTGAAGAAAACTATGTATTTTAAGGAAAATGGGAGCTAGGGATATTGGTTCAGTGGTAAAGCACCTGCCTGGTTATGTGTGGGGTCCTAGGTTTGCTCCTCAGCACAACAAACAAACAAAAAACCACATATACACACACACAAAAACAAACAACCCCCGCCCCCAAACAAACATTTTTGTGGTGCTGGGGATTGAACCCAGCTACATCTACCAACTGAGCTATATCCCTAGCCCACCCCTCCTCAAAAAAAAAAAACAAATGAAATGGTAACAAATTATCTTTAGTGTTCAATTATTCACCTTGCTTGTTAGGATTTGAAGATGCATGAACTGAAAATTGACTTTGAGGAGTACATTCTGATTCAAAGATTAACGTCTTTATTAGAGTCTGAATTTCATCCAAACCATGGTGAAGAGATTCAAACAACATCCTTTTGAGGAATCCAGTATTGAAAAGGGAACTTGACCTGAAAAAGAAATGAATATATAGAGCACTGGGTTTAAGAAATATTTACTTTCTTTCAAAAAATAAGTCTCTATAATATATAAAAAATAGGAATTCAAAAAGAATTTTTGATCTTTAATATTCTTTATTTTCTATTTTTCCAATGCTATTATTAAATTAGTTCTCTAAACTAGTAGGATTAGCCAAGAAAACTGCATTCACATTAAATCAATAAGAATTTACAGTTTTCATTAGTTGTACAGTACTATGATACTTGGGTATGTGTAGAGAATATACCAGAATACGATGCTGACCCTATAAAAGCCTATAAATGTAGACAAAATTTGGACAGAAACAATATATTGCAGAGGTATTTACAATGCACATTCTTATCAGTAAATCTTAAATCTTGTTTATATATGGTAATAGGTGGGAAGAAATATAAAAATTATATGTGGTAGTGGTGACGTGGTTTAAAAATGGCCCAGGAGTTAATGTAGTATGCTTCACATTGAGAATCACGGGTATAACTGACAAAATATGAAATTCTAAGTTAGATAAACCTGGTTACCAAGCCCAGCTTCAGCAGTTACTAGCTATGTAATACTGCTTTTGAGTTTTGTATTCTTTATCATGCAATGGAAAATAAATGTTCTCACAAACTTGTTATGGGAATTAAGTCAGGTGGCATATGTACAATGCCTAGTATAAAGTATATCCTCAATCAATGTAGCCATTATTTCTATATATGATCTTAAAGTGTCAAATGAATGATCAATATAAGCTAGGCAAAAAAGAATTTAGAGATTATTTTGGGTTGAAGCACTAAGGAGAGACTTCAAATGGGAAGTACAATTTGAACAGGGGGTGGGAGAGAGAAGGGACGTATTCTGGATGAGAGGAAAGCAGACCAATAGTTTTGAGTGAGGAAATCATAAGGCATGTGTTAGAACTCAGTCTTAGGAGACAAAACACCTAAATTTCTGACCCTGATTATGCAAATAACTATTTTTTAGGATAAGTTTTAGCAGCATTAAAAACATGTTATAATTTCCTCATCTGTAAAAATGAGGGATCTGGGCTAGAACATCTTCCTTCTGAACCCAGCCATCTGTTATTCTTAAATTTCTGCAGTTCTGAGATCCGTGAGTAGGATCACTCAATTGCACATGATAGAGGTGGGTGAGTGCTGGAAGGTATCATCACAAACATATTTACCATTTGTGCCAATTTTTTAGGTTTAGTAGATGGCTAAGCCTTGATCTTGTAAAAACAGCAAAGAAGAAATATGTAATAGTTCATGTCACAATGTTGTTAGCAGTTTCCTATTTCTATAAAAATCTCTAGTAWCAAAAAACTTATGATACAGATTCTAATTAAACACAATTTAAGGCTTTAAAAACACAGTAACTTGTTATCAATGATTAAAAAAAAAAATCACAATACATTAACTATGTGAAGCTTTATCCTATCCAAACGGCTTGACCCAAGACAAAGGCAGACATTTTATAGTTTTCTCACTAAAAACTAATTCGTTTAAGACGTTTTGTATTAGTTGATTTTTCTGTAAAAAGTTATTGTGATAATTTTACAATCACACCCTAGATTTTTAATGTTTTAAAAAGCTTCCTTCTTACTATTCAGAATGAATTGTCTAGTTTGTAGATAATCTAAGCTTCTCCTTCTTAGTGTTGTCACAAACTAAGGAGAACAATGGAAACAAATGAACCTTAAGTTCATAGGGGASAGAAGTCATGATTATTTGCCTAGACTTAAAAATTCAATCTAGGGCTGGGTTTGTGGTTCAGCGGCAGAGTGCTTGCTTCGTATGTATGAGGCACTGGGTTCGATTATTAGCAATTAAAAAAAAAAAAGTCCATCAACAACTAAAAATTTTAAAAAATAATAAAAATTAAATTTGAATTTGCTTGCCCTTTACCACATAATCAAAAGTTGACAATCAGCAAATCAATACATAAAGCAATTCTGAATATGTGATGCTTAGGCAGGCACATACCACAGAGGTCCAAGTTCTATTGCTGTCTTTCCAGGCATGCTTCCATGACAGTTACAGGGTAGCTGTCTATATGGGTTTTCTATTAAAAATAAAAATAAAAAAAGAGAGAAGAGAGAGAGAGAGACAGAGAGAGAGAGAGAGAGAGAGAGAGAGAGAGAAATCAAAGGAGAAATGACTAATGCAAATAGTAGTAATTGTTATATTAATAATAATTTATAGTTACTATATATTGAGGATCTACTATATGCCAGGTATTATGCTAGGTATTTTTATATGTATTTTAAAAACTTAATCCTTATAATTCTCTGAAGGTACTATTAAAATTACAATCATACAGATTTAAGAGGATTAAAGCTTAAGAGGTTGTGGAAAACCAAGTTAAGTGGTTATTTTAATAGAGACATAGCTGAAAGTAGCTTTTAGTTACTATACTTTATGAAATAATGTTATGGAGAAAGTCGTAACAAATTGGAACAAATAAATTAATTAATTAAAAGAATTAAAACACAGAGGAACATGAAGAAATTTTTTAAAAAAGGAGAACTAAATCTTCAATTTCACAGGATTTTCATATTATTAGTTTATTGGGGTATAAGTTATGTGTAATAAAACTATACTCATTTTATGTGAAAAGGTAGATGAGTTCTAACAAATGCATATACCCACATAATCAACATCTCAATCAAAAATATAGGCATTTTTCATAAGTTTAACTGGGAAGAAAATAAGTTTACTCTATTTCTATTATAATAGGCTTCRTATATATCCAGTACCCAAAATGTAGGCCAGAAAAATCTAATTCATTTTGAAGAACAATTAGAGGCTGATAWGGAAAACTGGGGTGGTATTAGCACTGTTCTTAAGCTTCCAAAATGGAGCAACAKTCTACTAGGGGATTTTTAAATTCTCTAAATGCCCAATGTTATAATTTCAACTTTTTTTTTKGGGGGGAGGGCAGTGCTAGGAATTAAACCCAGGGCCTCCTGTGTGCCAGGCAAGGGGCCTACAACTGAGCTACATCACCAGCCACCGGAATAGTTATTTTATTTCATTATTGTGTTTTGTTTCTTTTTGGGGGGCGGGGAGAGGGAAATGGAGAGTGGGGAGAGAGGGAGAGAGGGAGGGAGGGAGGGGAAAGGAAAGAGAACACAGAGAGGGAAGAAGTAGGAAAGAGAGAAAAGATGCAAAGCAGTCATTTTAAACTAGAAACTCGCCTCCACATATGGATYATGTCTGTAATCCCAGTGACTCAGGAGGCTGAGGCAGGATAATGGCAAGTTTGAGGCTAGTTTGGACTACTTACTGAGACCCTAGTCAAAAAATAAAATAAAAAGTGCTGGGGTTTGTAGCTTTGTGGTAGAGAGCCCCTGGGTTCAATCCCTAGTCGCCCTCACCTCCAAATAAATGAATGGGAAACTCTCTAACTAACCATCCCTAACACTAGACCATTTCTGGATTAAGCATTCACTTTCTTGGAACAGCCTGATTCAGTCAGTAAATCCTAGATACATCCAGAACCTAGGAATAATCCTTCTGGTAGAAACATAGGTCCATAACTTCTTATAATATTATTGTTATTCAGTGCAATTAATGGCATAATGTATAGTTGTTAAACCTTTTTAAAAATATACTAAGATAAGGAATGTGACACGATGCCCTCCATTATCACCATCATACAGTACTTGAAGAAAGGAAAAATATTCTATGCTTGGAGGAAATTTCAAAATCGTAGTATCTATTTTCCCTAATTAATGTGATTAAAAAAATACTGGTTTATTTACTGAGTGAGAGAGAGAGAGAGAGACAGAGAGAGAGAGATAGATAGATATTGTGTGTGTGTGTGTGTGTGTGTGTGTGTGGGTGGTGTGGGGGGTGGTGGTGGTGGTGGTGGTGGTAAGGCTTGAACCTAGGGGTGCTCTACCTCTGAGATATATCTCCAGCCCTTTTTATTTCGAGTCAGGGTCTTGCTAAGTTGCCGGGGCTGGCCTTGAACTTGTGATTCTCCTGTCTCAGTGAAATGAGAGAGATAGAGCAATAGAGATAGATAGATAGATAGATATTGATCTAATACCAGAAACTCTCTGAAAACACACAATTTTGAGGAAGCATTGCTGTGACATAAATAATGCTAAAAATCCTCTGTAATCAAAATGGCATGGCAGCCATTGGTGGTGGTGTGTGCCTGTAATCCCAGCTATTCAGGAGACTGAAATAGGGTGATAACTTGAGTCCAGGAGTTCAAGATCAGCCTGGGCAACACAGTGAGACCCTGTCTCAAAAAAACTCTAAAAAAACAATAAATATGGTGGTAGGGGTATGTATATAGGTATCCAATCACTGAAACAAAGTAGAAAATCCAGGAACAAACTCAAATACATGTGGAAGTTGGTATGAGATAAAGAAGATATTCTCAAATCAGTTAAGAAAAAATGGACTATTTATTTAATAAAATATAACCTACCTTGAACCACTTAGGAATATGAAAGGTCTATTGACAGACAAAAATCTAGAATACATATAAGTATGACTAACTTTATAATAGCAACAACAAAACACTCCTGTATTAAACAAAAAAGATGCAAATCCAAGTGATGAGATGAGAAAAAAACATTTGTGACTCATGTAATAAGAGCTAAACTCTAATATATAAAGAGTTCTCAAGAATTCATATTTAAAAATACCCAAAACTTCTCAAGGCCAGTCCAGGCAACTTAGCATGAGCCTGTCTCCAAACAAAATAAAAAGGGGTGAGGATGTAGCTCAKTGGCAGAATGTTTGCCTAGTATATACACAGAGAGGGAATACAAGGCCATGTAAGGCTTGAACCTAGGGGTGCTCTACCTCTGAGATACATCTCCAGCCCTTTTTATTTCAAGTCAGGGTCTTGCTAAGTTGCTGGGGCTGGCCTTGAACTTGTGAACAAGGCCATGGGTTCAATCCCCAGTACTACAAAATGCAAGCAAACAAAACCCAGCAAACCAAGAACTTAACCAAAAATAATGGGCAAAACTATTATTTCTATGTTCAGTAAAATAAATAGAAAAATAGCTCTTTCTAAGGGCATGAGCCACAGTTTAGCTTTTCTCTTGAATCCTCAGGCCTGGCATATAGTAGAAACTCAATAAATGTTTACTGAATGGATTTTAAACTGGTAGCTTTTATATTCAGCCAGAACATGATAATTATTTTTATAAAATTAATGATTTGTATCAGCCTAGACAAAGGTAATCTGACTTATGTTCCTAAAATTAGTTGACAGTGGAAACTAAGTTATTTCTAGATGTTTCAATAAAGGGCAGGGCTATAGAACAAAAACTGTACAGCATGAGAAAATAACTTTAATAAACTCACTCGAATGTCTTGTCTGTTGATCAAAGTAAATCCAGTATAGTAAATAACAAAGTTAGCACTGTAATCTTTAAAATCAAAGGACAACAATATGTATAATTAGGGATGTAATAAAAGCTTTTCATTGGAGGCTTACAGATTATAAATTAAACTTAATATACAGTTAAGATGAAATTGAACTTACCTTCTACCATATTACCATCCTTCTGAAAAATTCTTTCTTCACACCACTGACAATGGATTAGGTACTGAATCTTCTTGGCTGTTTCATCTGCTGAGGTAGGCCCCCTCAAAACTCTCACCACCACCAAAACAAAATGTTCCAGAGCCACTGCAAATAGTACTTCTATGCCTTTGTTGCATCGGGCTGCAGCTCTATTAAAAATATTTTGAAGTTATTTTTGGGTGATTATTATTTTCTTTTATTTGGCATTATAATGACAATACTAATGTGAACAGTAAACTATGGGTGGGTTGTGGTAAATAAAGAAAAATTCAATATCTAGTGGTAATGCTTTTAAAAGATTATTACTAGAACTTCACACCAATAGAAATACATGGATAAAGAACGCCCAGCAGGGTCTTTGGTCTTGGCATTTTCCCTTATGATAGCCTCTCCATAGGACTATATATTCTGGTTTTCAGAGTCACTTTGTTTCTCGTCCTTAACATTAGCTTTTTTCCTATAAAAGCTTCTTCCATATAATATATATTTATGTACGTTTACTGAGGAGGCATGATAGTATGCTAACTGCTGAATATTTAGAGAACAATGAATACTAAAAGTCCTTTCTACCATTAATCACAGACTTTTTTGGACTGGATTAAGTTCTACCAGGTAAACCATTTCTGAACTTATTAAAAACAGTTTTAAGTATGTGCAGTAAGTTATAGGTAGCACAAAAATGTGCATAGGATTTTTGAGTTAAYTAGTGATAACCCCAAAGGTCTATTAATCTGTGTTTAAATTGAAGTAGGAATTTCCATCTAAATGCTGTAGAACTTGTGTTTGAGCTAGTAAACTGGCTAATCATTCATTATCTATACTCCTAATTCCAATTATATTCTTGTTCTTCTAGCATTATATTCTACAAGTAATAGGTGCTCAAAAAAGTCTTCCCCGTTTCAATGGTTATTTCTGATGAGAAGCTTCTTAGTTTGTAAGATAATTTTGTAGAATAAAGTTTATAAGCCATCATTTTATTYAAACTATATAAAGATGAAATGGATATAAAACAAATAATCCTCTCTAAATCTAAGAAGTTTGTTTTCCATATCATGTTACTATCTCCTATCTACCCTAATTGTTGAGATAAATAGATATGAAATTAATTTTTACTTATATCTTTTCTTTCTTACTACTTTAATTATTTTAATAACATGTTGGAGAGTAAACTAAATATTTTAGACATAAACTTTTAAATAAGGTTTAACAGAATATAAGATTAAAAACACAATAAAACAAATTCAGATTAGCGATATGGGATACAGAATCTTTATTTCACATTTTTTGAAAAATAATGCCTGTAATCCCAGTGACTTAAGAAGCTGAGGGAGGAGGACCGTGAGTTCAAGACCAGCCTCAGCACTTATCAAGCCCCTGAGCAAYTTAATGAGACCCGGTCTCAAAATAAAACGTAAAAAGAGCTGGGGATTTGGCTCAGTGGTTAAGCACCYGTGTTCAATCCCTGGTACCAAAACAAAAACAAAAACAAAACAAAACATGATGTAAGCATTCATTTGTAGTATTCTTTCAATCATTATGAAAACACATTAGGTATGCAATTGGCAATCTGGTACCTCGCCACTGCGGCTACGACAATTCTGGCTGCTAATTCCTTGTAATACTCAGTTCGAACAATGTTACATCCATAGTGACGTCGGGCAACGTGTTGTGCCTTGGCATACAAGGAACTGATATCTGTAGATGTCACTGATACTATGCCAAGGTTCCTTATATTTCTGAATGCAGAATCTAGATAGTTTACTGATGTTCCAAAAGGGTCTAGGTGTCTAAAATCAGAAAKAATATAGACATATTTAAACTCATATTAGTAACCAAAATCATACCCCTGTAATTATTTCTAATAAGATTCTATGATTCAAAAGTACTTTACAATCTATTTCAAATACATGGTTGTTTCTAAAATAAGTAATAAAATAGTTATATCATAGATCAGAAATATAAATCATAAATCAGGCTTAAAATGCTAGAAAGTTTTCTTATCGAATACTTTAAGCCAATGCAAAAAGCCGTATTAATTTAAATAAACAACAACAATAAATTAATTTAACTCCCCCCTCCCCCCAACCCAAATGTCCAGGTCAGTTTAACAAGTGACATAGCAAATCTTTTTCACTTACATGAAATCAAAAGATCTTAAATGCATCAGTACATTGGCATCCATTTTGGTCACCTTAATATTACCGAGACTTTCTTCTCCTTCTTCAAGAATATCATCACCCTCTTTCTTTTCCTTACTGTCTACCACCACTTTCAATTTGTTTAAATGGCAGTTTTCCTGAATCAATGTCACAGAGTTTTCATTCAAGTCATTAATTGTAACTTTGACTGCATTTCCAAGGTGCTTTGCCCACTGTAATCCCATTATTCCTTAGGGAAAATGGAGAAGATAACTAGTTTTTAAACTGTAATAACTAAAGAATAAAAACAGTATGAAAAGAATATATTTTTATATATAAATCAAATTCCTTCAAAAATCTTAGTATTTTCATGAACAATTCTTATTTTACTTTCTTAAAAAAAATTTTCTCAAGAAGTTAACACAAAAATTTGCCTAAAATTTTTAATACTTCTTACAATACACTTTTTATGAACYTTGTTCAAATAAATGTTCCATGTACTTTTAAAATTTTATTTTATAGAATTGGTTGTTATTATCACTGTTTTTTTTTTTCTTACAATGGAATAGTATTTCAAACAAAATCTTAAAGAGAAACTCAATATATAATAACAACAACTGTGGGGATACTCTGCTGGAAGGGAGAAGGGCAGGGTGACATTGTCCTGCTGAAGTTTACCTTCACATGCTAAAATATAAAAAATAACTTTTCTAGAATAGCGATTTTCAAATACTGCACAAAATCATCACTGTGAGTTCAAAAGAACTTGTACATATAAGCAAATAATCAAGAATTTAGACCAAGAATTTCCCTCCTCACAGGCTTTGTACACTGACAGGATTAGTCATAAGTAACAGACATAAACACAACCAATTCGATTAGAACACCCCTTTGTATTAGAAATAGTGACCATTTTCTCCATGCGTGTCTCATAAATGGAAAAAGTTCTTATCTACTGTGCATTAAGGTCTTTACATATTCTCATAAGTTCTAGTGTCCTCATTAACATGGTAAATATGCAAATGGCAGCTACAAACCCAGATATAAGGTTATGAAGACACTTTAAAAAGAAAAGGCTGGGACTGGGGATGTGGCTCAGCGGTAGCGCGCTCGCCTGGCATGCGTGTGGCCCGGGTTCGATCCTCAGCACCACATACAAACAAAGATGTTGTGTCCGCCGGTAACTAAAAAAAAATAAATATTAAAGAAATTCTCTCTCTCTCTCTCCCTATCTCTTAAAAAAAAAAAGGCTGAGAAAAATCTTTCTTAGACATCAGCTTTAATAATTTCAGATTAAAAACAAGAGTAAAGAAAAAGGGTGTGTAAGGAAAAACACGGGRACATAGATTTGGAATAGTGGGTTGGGATCAGATTATGAAGAATATTAAATTGCTATTTGAGAAGTATAGTAGTAAGGATAGATGACTTTTTTGATTGAGAAGTAACAATATTAATGTAGTTCTTCAGAGGAATGGCTGTTTGGCAGTAATACAGAAGACAAATTAGAGGGAAGAGACAGATTATAAACCAGGGTACTAATTAAAGACAACTAAAATACACTTGGAAAAGGAGTGAGTTATATAGTACCAAAGAAAAATCAAGAGATGTGGTGGCTGAGTTGATCTGACGAGAGTAGAGAGGAAAAGAGGACCAAAAAATTATTCAATTTTCGTAGTTAGGYGACTCAGAAGTGTTAGTTCATTACTTTTACCCTATTTGCACGGAGACATTACCAATGAAGGTGTTGGTAGTAGCAGTAGTAATAATAAAGATGATCCTCAATGCTTTCATGGCATTTTCTACTTAACAGGTATTGTTCTAATGACTTTAACTATATTAATTTACTTAAATCTTCACTGCTAGAAGTTGCATATTGGTGTTGTCTCCTCCACTACTCCACTTCTATACATAAGCAATTTACTGTGGTCATACAACTAGTACATAATGAAGCTGGGACTTGAACCCAGGGAGTTTGGCTCTATAATCCATGCTTTTAATCACTGTTTTTCACCAAGGAGAGGAGCATAGGAAGGAGAGATTCCTCATGCTTGCTAAGAGCATAATCCTATATTCTTTATAAAGAAAGACTTGAACTGGGTACAAGTGGCTATTAAGAAACCATCTACTGTTTCCCTTATCTTTTCTCTATTGTTAAAAATCTCTTGGGGGGCTGGGGTTGTGACTCAATGGCAGAGCTCTTGCTTTGCACATGTGAGGCACTGGGTTTGATCCTCAACACCATATAAAAAAATAAACAAAATGAAAATATTGTGTCCCATGTRTAACTAAAAAAATATTTAAAAAAAAATTTTCTTGGGAAGAAGAATGACTTTCAAAGTTGAAGGCTACGCAATGGTTATTACAACACAAAAAAAGAGTCATCAGTTGCTTCCTGATTATAGAAAATAAGCATTCTTGAAAAAATAATTTGTAACTGAATCTGACTAAACCATCAGTTTATTTCTTTTTATTTTTTTGTGGTGCTAGGGATTGAAAAACCAGGCCTTTTGCATGCGAGGCAAGCACTGTATCAACTGAGTTATCTCCCCAGCTCTGAAACCATCAATTTACAAAAATACAAGAGAGAAAGGAAAATGTTATATGAACCATAGCAATACAATCAGCAAAATCTAGACTGTCAGAACTCTATAGGTCAAAAGACCCATTATATCAAGAAATAATTAACACACACACACACACACACACACACACACACACAGTTAGACATATATAATTAACACACACTCTAATAAGAGTTAAACAGCAAACAAAATACATAGTCTAGATTCTGATTTGAACTTTTAAAAACAAAACTAGGCATATATAAACAACTGATGATATTAAAGAGTTATTCTTATTTTTTTAGGTGTGATAATGGCATTATAGTTTTATTTATTTTAAAAAATTCTCTTTTAGACATCCAACTTAAATATTTACATGAAATGACACATCCATGGTTTGTTCCATATTAATGGGGATTGAGCAACTGAGGTGTGGGGTATGGGGAAACAGATAAAACAAGACTGAGTATGAGGTGATTATTTTTGAAGTGAGTGATAAGACACAGGGAGTCATTAATTATACTCTTTGCTTTTGTATATACTTGAAAATTTTCATAATAAAGGAATAAAAATTATTTTTCCCTCAGATCTTTTTCTTTTTTAAACATTGCTAGGGACTATGGTTGTAGTTTGCCTAGCACATGTGAGGCACTGGGTTCAATCCTCAGCACCACATAAAAAAATAAATAAATAAAGCTGGGAGCGGCAGTGCACGCCTGTAATCCCAGCAACTCGGGAGGCTGAGGCAGGAGGATCATGAATTCAAATCCAGCCTCAGCAATGGTGAGGCAGAAAGCAACTCAGGGAGACCCTATCTCTAAATAAAATACGAAATAGGATAGGGGATGCGCTTCAGTGGTAGAGTGTCCCTAAGTTCAATCCCGAGTACAAAATAAAAGAAAGTAAAATAAAGGTATTGTGTCCATCTATAACTAAAAAAAAAAAAAATAAATAAAAAATAAAAACTATATATTTTCTAGAAAAAGACACTGTAAAAAATTGAGAAAGAAAATGGGATTCCAAAAATACTTCCTTCCTTACCAGTCGCTCCAAAGGCATCTAGACATTCCAGAGGTTTTCGTTCCTCAGCCAAAGCAGCCAAYGTGCAGAATATCAGCTGTCTAGAAGAAAGTAATATAAAGGTAATTTTATGAGATTATAGCTTCATTATTGTAGATTTTATTTCATTTAAGAAAATCGAGAATTGGAGGGGGCCTCTAGTTACTGTACAAACTATTTTGAAAAAGAAGCAATAAAATATATCCCCATTTTAATAGCAWAAAAAACTTAAGAAATTAAATTATGAATTTAATTAAGTTCTATCTAATAAGCCTTTCTTCATTTACTTATTAACAAAACTGGCCTATGAAAGTGCAGCCTATATTCATTAATTATATAAAATTATACCAATTTAACTTTCTGACAAAAAACAAAACAAAACAAAACAAAACAAAGAACCATACACATACACACACACACTAAATAAAACAAAAAACTACATTGGTAGTCTGCACCTAAAGTTTAATACATTAGAACCATAGAGGTTAAAAAAAATATATCTGTAATGATTTGAAATAGCCCATAACCCCTTTAAAAAAAAATTATCTTACCGATTTAGTTTCATTTTGGGATTAAAATAGGAATCTGTTTTCTGAGGTATAGAATAGTTAGGACAAACTTGTACATCTGTGTCTGTTTCTTTCAAAATTTCAGTACATGGTTTAGCAGTAGAAGCTATTATTGAAAAAAAAATGATTTCAGGAACATACAAAGTTATTCTAAACATCTAAAACAATATACATTTGAAAAAAAAACTATTATTTTGTGTTAATGTAAGCAGTTGGGTAAATAATAAAACCAAAAAAACTCATTTATTCATCACTGTCTCCAAAAAAATGTTGCACCCAGGTAAGTATCTGGTGAATGAAAGAAAGTGTATTCACTTAAAATCTTGACTGCATAACATACCTACATATCTGTACTATGATATCTAAGGACAATCATTTTAAGATAGCATGAAATCCTAAAATACCTTTATGATTCAGCAAATAACACTGTTTGTATACGGCTGCTAAATATGTTTTATGATGGTCTAATTGTTAGAAAAAATGAGTATGAGCATCTCTGTATGGTTGCATTCTACCAGCCAGTATAGCTAAGTAAGAATCACTGTTTCCTAGGAACAAGTAGGTGGCACAAACCTGTAATCCCAGGGGAGGCTGAGGCAGGAAGATAGAGAATTCAAAGATAGCCTCAGCAATTAAGCAAAGCCCTAAGCAATTCAGCGAGATCCTGTCTCTAATAAACAAAATACAAAAAAAAAGGCTGGGAATGTGGCTCAGTAGTTAAGTACCTCTAGGTTCAATCCCTGATACCAAAAAAAAAAAAAAAAAGGAATCATTGTGTTTCCAGAGCATACTGGACTTTAGACTCTTAAGTTTCTCATAATATTTTTAAATACAAATTATGTTCAAATGGCTACCAAGTAATGAAAAAATGATTCTACATTTAATATACATTAGAATCCTTTTTAAAAAATATTTTTAATAATTTTTTTAAAGAGAGAGAGAATTTTAATATTTATTTTTTAGTTATCAGCGGACACAACATATTTGTCTGTATGTGGTGCTGAGGATCGAACCTGGGCCGAACGCATGCCAGGYGAGCGCGCTACCACTTGAGCCACATCCCCAGCCCAATATTAGAATCCTTTGGGTATAAACTCAAATTATATACTGATGTGTACATTTGTGCATGTTTTAAATATCAAGAAATAAGACACATAATGTGGGGAGAGGGAAGAAATGAGATCCTTTATGAGAAAAGCTGACAAGCTATAGATGATTCTGTTATCAGTTAGGAAAAAGGTTTTTATTTCACTCTGCATCCTTTTCCCAGTTTTCCAAATTAAGCATAACAAGTTTTATATATTTATATAAAATTTGTTATTAGAAATATAATTCTAGGGCTGGGGTTGTGGCTCAGCAATAGAGTGCTCATGTAGCATGTGCAAGGCCCTGGGTTTGAGCCTCGGCACCATATAAAAATAAATAAGATAAAGGTATTGTGTCCAACTACAGCTAAAAAATATATATTAAAAAAAAAAAAGAAAGAAAAAACCCCATAATTTTATAACGTTTAATTAATGTTTAATTATTTACTTGAGGGTCACTTGCATTTTTTTACATCATTAATTAAATGTATYTGTTGAGAACAGCTGAATGTTACTGGAAACCTTACAGAAAGAAAACAAAACGTGAAATAAAGGATTGGTAGTCAACTAAATTTTTTCACTAAATCAGTGTATTTTATCTGCCTAAGTTCTGGGGGGAAAAAAAAATAACAGGACCATTATTTAAAAATATACATGTTAATACGTTAATGAGATGCTTAACTTACCAGCAATATAACTGGACTTAGTCTCTCCTTTATTCACATGGCGCCTAACGTGTCCTAGCATATCAGTCCTTCTGGTGATTGTTGCTGAACAAATGATACAATGATAATGGGCTCCCATTTTACTGAATATCTATCAAACAGAATTTGAATGAGTTACTAAGACAATTAAACAGAAGTTTAAAGTTGCAAATACGTTAGTGTCTTGGGTTAAATAGCATAGAAGATAATGATCATTTTGCCATATGACTTAGAGAATCCTAACTTCCTTACAGAATTTACTTTTTCTTTTTGCAGGTGGGGAGTAGGAGGTGGTGTTTGAGGGGTTCCAGGAATGGAATCCAGGGGTGCTTAACCACTGAGCAACATCCCCAGTCCTTTTACTTTTTGAAACAGGGTCTCAACTAGGTTGCTTATAATCTTGCTAAGTTGCTGAGGCTGGCTTTGAACCTTCTATCCTCTTGCCYCAGACTCCCAAGCTGCTGGGATTATAGGCGTGAGCCACAGTGCTCACCCAGCTCCTTACTAAATTTAATTTCCTAGTTTTCCACATTCATTCTATTCAGGAAATAACTCTATGGTATTTTCTATAAGCTGCACTTACAAATGCTAGCTGTTTTCATAAATCTCATATTTTTTCTATTATGATTATCTGAAAGCACTCACATGCAGAATTTTAAACTATATTGTTAAACATGAGCATTTTACATAAGTCAGAAATTACTTCTTGGCCTTTTGGTTGAAATCAAACAGTTCTAAAGCAAATAAAAACTGTATTTTCTTTAAAAAATTAAATTTAAAAGCAAAAATAATAATGTTCAATTACCTGTTCTCCAATATTATTTGGTTTTACTGGTCGACACGGTAAGTGACAGATGCACATCCTATAACCTAGAATGAAGAATGGCTGGCTGTCATATCATTGTTCATTAAAAATTCAATTAGCACTAAAAATTGTCAGAGCCTACTGCGCAGGTGGATTTGTCACTGTTTTGATTGTCACCTAAAGATTGGAGATAAGGGAAGTCCCAGCTTCCCCTCTCCATTTCCTTYCTTATCATATTTTTTACAGTCCTTGTTTCATCATAAGCTTTCCTAGGCAGTGATTAATGTTTTTTAAATTTGTTCAAATTAGTTATACATGACAGTAGAATGTATTCTGACACATCATGCATATAGAGTACAACCTGTCATTCTTCTGGTTGTACATGATGTAGAATTATACCAGTCATGTAATTATATATGCACATAGGGTAATAATGTCTGATTCATTCTACTCTCCCTCCTACCTCCATACCCCCTCCCCTCCCTTCACTCCCCTCTGCCTAATCCAAAGTAACTCCCACCCCCAGCTTATTGTGAATCAGCATCTGCAGATGAGAGAAAACATTCAGACTTTGGTGTTTTGAGATTGGCTTATTTCTCTTGGCATGATAGTCTCCAGCTCCATCCATTTACCTGCAGATGCCATAATTTCATTCTTATTTAAAGCTGAGTTAATATTTCATTCTGTATATATACCACATTTTCTTTATATTCATCTGTTACATTTTTGAGCACAAGGATTACAATTTCTCTACATCCTTGCTAACACTTCTTATTTTATGTTGGAGAGTAGCCATTCTAATGGGTGTGAAGTAGTTATCTTGTATTTTGATTTGCATTTTCCTAATTAGTGATGTTGGGATATTTTCATTTGTAAGTCTTTGGAAAATGTCTATTTAAATCTTTGCCCATTTTTAAAAAAAATGTTTAGATGTTGATGAATCTTTATTTTATTCATTTTTTATAATATGTGATGCTGAGACTCAAACCCAGTGCCTCACACATGCTAGGCAAGTACTCTACTGAACCACATCCCCAGCCTCCCTGCCCATATTTTAATCTTCTTGTTTGGGGTTTGCTGTTATCGTTTTTTTAGCTTGAGGTGTTGCCTATTCTGTGTTACTCTCTTATCAGATTTGTAATTAGCAAATATTTTCTCCCATTCTGTGGGTTGCCTTTTTGCTCTGTTGATAGTGTCCTTTCATGTGCAAAACTTTTAAATAATTGTCGTGCAGTCCAGTTTGTCTATTTTTCATTCTGTTGCTTATGCTTTTGATGCCCTACCCAAGAAATTATTGCCAAATTCAATGTTGTGAAGCTCTGTCCGTGTTTTATCCTAAAGCTTTTATTTTTATTTTTTAATTTATTTTTTAGTTTTCGGYGGACACAACATCTTTATTTGTATGTGGTGCTGAGGTTCGAATCCAGGCCGCATGCATGCCAGGTGAGCAAGCTACACTTGAGCCACATCCCCAGCCCCTAAAGCTTTTATTTTGTTTCAGGTCTTAAATTTAGATTCTGATTCATTGATTTAATTTTTGTGTACGACCAAGTAAAGTTCTAATTTTATTCTCTCAAAAAAATATTACATGAGAATTACATAAGAATAATTGGGATTATCCTTGTATGTGTAATGTCACAATTAAATTGAATGAGACTGCTTTAGTTTATACATGGGATTGATAGATATAAATAAATACAGAAGATTCAGACTTGAATTCCAGTCTTGTAATGAATATTTAATGTGGGATTATTAGTCATTTAAAGTCTTTGACACTCARTTTAATAGTGCTGCCTTCAATTTTTTCTTAGGCTTCATCTACTTTGTCTCATACTATATTTGCCATTATATACTCTTTTTTTCATTTATGTTCAGCACCATCCTGATTCTTTTCCCACCTTTTAAAATCTTCTTTTACAGATCTCCTTTGTATTACCTACTCTAAAATGCAGATATTACTTAGGCTAGATTAGCTGTGACTTTTTTCCCTTGGTTACTTTTAACTTCTTTCATGATTCCAATTCTTTCTCTTATAGGAGAGAAAAGCAATGATTTCAGAATATTTATCTTATAACCCAGAATAATCTGAGTATTCTTTTTTTTTTTGGGGGGGGGGTACTGGGGAATGAACTCAGGGGCACTCAACCACTGAAGCACATCCCAGCCCTATTTTTTAAATATTTTATTTAAAGATAGGGTCTCACTGAGTTGCTTAATGCCTCCCTTTTGCTGAGGCTGGCTTGGAACTCGTGATCCTCCTAGCTCAGCCTCCCAATCTGCTGGGATTATAGGCATGTGCTAGTTATCCAGCTATAATCTGAGTATTCTTCTTTTTTTCCCCCTCCTTGTAAAGCATTTTATTGTTTCTCACAAATTAGGGGAAATATCATTATCAGTAACAGAAAAATCCTTACTTAACAAAACATGTGAAAAGTGCAGAAGAATTTGGCAACAACTCTGATGAATTCCAGTGTTACTAATTTACAGTTCTTTTAAACTATACTGTAATTTATTTATTTTTATTTTTTTAAATTTGTTTTAATTAGTTACACATGACAGTACAATGATCTTGACATATATTGCTTTCATAAAGAATACCAGATTCAGGAACTCCTGAAATGACCCATAACAAGCAAGCACTGACACTACTCCTTTAATTCTTCCTATGTTCATGCTTATGTACAGATTTAGTTCGCGAAACACAAATCTTCTCTTGCAACTACTAAGTACTCTTAACTCTAGTTTTTTAAGCCATCAGGAATAAAAAGATTTTTTTCCAGTAGTTTTGTTTTATTGTTTTGGTACATTTACTTTGCCTTCAAAATTATGTGTAAAATGGAAGTTGTTTTACTACTAATGGAAAAGTGTAATTTATTAAAACACTGTTCAATAAACAATATGGACTCCCAGGGCCAGAGTACCTAGTATAGAATAGCTGCTTAATAAATGTTTGTGTAACTAAATTGTATCATTTGTATTTATTGCCTATAAAGCTATTATCTTATTTAATAAGGGGCATTAAATCCTTCATAATTTTGAACTGAAACTGTTTGCTCATGTTCACAATAAAATTCCAAGACTAGTAATAATAATAAATTTCATGTATGTCATTTTTTTTTTTTTAGCCAGCACAAAAATACTAACCTTCAAATTCAACTGAGACTTTCCAGTGTAAATTCTGAAGATGACGACGAAGCTTATGACTATTACAAGCTCTGAATTTTTCCTTAGGGCACAATGGACAAACTTGTTTGTTTCCTGAAAAAGTAACAAGACCCAAAAATGCACCAGAATATACTAGCTATTAATGCCTAGATTCAGCTATAAAAGAGGCAAAAGGGAACTTTCCCATGCTCTCCTCCTACTTGTTAGCAAATGACCMTTGACTTTCTTTTTTCTAATTCTTTAGTTCCCCTTTCTGTGGCTAGCTGATATCTCCGTTGCTATTAGGAACAGAGAAGTTGAGAAAATGATACACATATGTACCACTTATCCCTTCCTCAGTTAACACAGGGAGTTTGAAAAATSGAAGAAGGAAGTGAAAGAGTAAATGAGACCCAATATAACTGGTATTCTGAGATGGTGGGGGGCATGGTTAGAACCACTGTATCTTGAATTTCACTGTATTGCTGAACATATAAGTTCATCATTCTTTATTCACATACTCCTTAGATTATGGATTACCAATTAATTAGAAATCCAATGTATGGAAAATAAAAAACTTTTTATAGTGTACAAAACAATTAAATCTTAATTCAGGATTAGAGCAATAAAAACTACAGAACTAAACAATAACTCATTTAATAATTTTTAGCCTAACAAATTTTTTTCACATACAGCACAATACAAGAATAGGTACATAAAATTTAGCCAGGTGCAGTGCATTACACATCTGTAATCCCAGCGAATCTGGAGGCTGAGACCAGGGGGAATCACAAGTTTGAAGTCACCTGGGAAATGCAGCGAGAATTTGTCTCAAAATAAAAAGTAAAATGGGCTGGAGATGTAGCTCAGTGGTAAAGTGCCCCTGGTTCAATCTCCAATTAAAAAAAAAAAAACAGGCACAATTTATGTTTTTATATATACTGCCTACCTAAAAAAACAAACAAACAAACAAAAAACAAACAAAAAAACCACTAAAAAACCATGAGGCTGCTGGGGTTATAGCTCAGTGGGAGAGCATTTGCCTAGCACGTGTGAGGCACTGGGTTCCATCCTCAGCACAACGTAAATATAAATAAATAAAGGTACTGTGTCCATCCACAACTAAAAATATTTAAAAACAAAAACAAACAAACCATGAGGTGATCTTAGCAAAGCAGAAAAAAGAGGAGTGAGGCACTGACAACACTGCAAAATGTTCCAACCAGCCCTACTACACTGCCTATCTTGGGACTTTTACATATTATTTAAAATGCTGTTCTGGGGATCTCTGTTAACTTGTAGCCATGTAATTCCTAATTTACAGAATACACAGTCCTGAAAGACCAAGAGTTTGTAATTTCCTTGAGGAGTTGTGAATTAACTTATTTCAYAGCACCTTTGCACATAGAAGCTACCAATTTCTTGAATAATATTTTCAAAATTTTACTACTATTCTAGTTAATTAAGAATAAACAGGTCTGTTCTCTTTCTCTTGCAGTGTTAGGGATCCCAAGGCCTCGTCCATGCTAAGCATGTGCTCTACCACTAAGCTTTAATCACAGCCCTTAAACAAGTCTATTCTTAGGAAACTGGCAATCAGCTGAAAGATGACAACCCAACAGAAAGTAAGTAGGGACAGGGGGAGATAGAGACACAAATCAATCAATCAATCAACATACCTGCATCAAGATTATCTGAGTTCAATGAATTGGCAGAATCAAAATCCCCTTCAGTTACAAAAGCTAACTTCTCCAGATCACCAAGCTGCCTTTGAATTGAGATGTGTCTCTCTGAAAAGAAATTTGAGTTATAAAATTATTTTTTAACAATTTGTTTTTTAGTTTCAGGACAATAGAGAAGCCAAAGAAGTGCTGTAAAAGAGAAACTGCTTAGTATTAATACTAAACGTTACAAACAGTTGCAAAGACCAAGAAAAGATTACTGGATTTAGTATGTAGCATGTCTGGTGACCTTTAAAAAAGCTTGAGGTGCTTGAGAGTAGAAATGAGATTGAAAGGGGAAAGGAAATTCAGAAAATTAGTGTAATTATTTTTTCAAGAACTTTGGCAATAAACAAACAACAACAACAACAACAAAAAAAACAAAACAAAAAATCAAAAGAAAGAAAAAGCAAATTAAAATTTCATCTAAGCACAGAGATACCCTGAATATATTTGCATTCCAAAGAAAAGGGAAATTTACAAAGTGGGAGCCCAATATAGCTCCATATGCTAACAGATAAAGTTCCTAAAGAGATAGGAGAATATATAAATTGTTATGTTAAACAATTTTTGACTCTCTGACCTTCCCAACTATTCCTCCATAAACTTCATTCTCAGTTCACTTCTTCACTCATTTGTTTAATTAAAAAAAAAAAAACAAACATTTTTTGCCTGTGGTACTAGGGATTGAACTCTAGTCCTAAAACCTGCTAGGCAAGCTGCTAACCCTGAGCTGTGCCACCAACCCTTTTTTAAATTTTATTTTGATAGTCTAAGTGGCCCAGGATGGTCTCAATTTGCCTCAACCAGCAGTGGGATTACAGGCATGTGTCACCACACCTGGCTCATTTATATAATTTGTGTTATTATCTGTCTTTCCTCACAAATCAGCAATAAAATAGGGGCTATGCCTTATTCACTGGTTTAATGGTTAGTGTAGGAACTTCACAGAGCATGCACTGAAATCTATTAAACAATTAAAAAAAATTATTAGGGATGAAGCAGAAGCACACTGCATCAATAATTTGGGGATCAATTTAGCACTACAAACATTCCTGTTCAAGTTTATTAAAAATATGGTTTTCCACTTTATTTTTAATTGAATAAAAACAAAGAGCAACAAACATTGGTTAACTTTTTTTCTAGGTATTATTCAAATAAATTTTAATGAGATATAATTGTCAAAACCAGACAAAAATTTGAGTTTCAAGTTTCAATTGCTAGGTCAGGCCAGGCACAGTGGTACACACCCACAATCCCAGCAACTTGGGAGGCTAAGGCAGGAGGATCACAAGGTTGAGGCCAGCCTGGGCAATTGAGACCTTGAGTCTAAATAAAAAGAGTCTGAGATGTATCTCACTGGCAGGACACTACTGGGTTCAATCCACAGTACCTCAGAACAATTAAGGAAATTTATAGGYAAGACATTAAAAGTCAAGATATGAAAACATGCATATAAACCAACCTATCACATTTGTAACAATAAAGACTTTTGGCTTTTATAGTTCAAAGAGTTGTATATGTGAAACAAGACAGAACTATATAAAAATGTACTCATTGAAAATTATTCTGTTAAAAAAAAAGAGAAAGATCTCAGTAAATTAGAGAACAGAAAATCCTGTGGTCCACAATTGAAGAAAACTGTCAAAGACCTGTCTGAAAATTCGTAATATTCCTGTAAACATCTCTGAAATCACTTTCTGGTTTAAAACAGTAGATATCATGAAATCTGTACTTAAATCAGCCAACTTGCTTTTTGTAACATACTAATAATCCAGAAGTCAACAGGCACACCTTTTGTTAAATTAGATGAGTCCAAGTTGCTAGGAGGTTCTTCAACAACCTTTGTTACTTTCTCCTTAATTTTCAAATCTATTTCAGAAACACCATCTTCATCTTGCCTAGTTACAATTGAGTTGGAAGGACTAACTAGACTGTCTAAAAAATAATTTTTAAAAATGTGATTAATATGAATTTTAGTTCTAATGTACTTCAGATTTCTCAATCATTAATTTGTCCCAGCAGTGCATTTTCAGGTTACCCAAACGGTGGACATACACATTTTTTAAATCACATACATTTTTAAAATATATAAGTAAATACTATCTTAATGAGGAGAAGTGGAGAAACGTGCATTCCCAAAGCTGTTGAACCACTTCTGATTAACTTAAGCAGATAAAATCTGTAGTTGAGGCAGGACGCTATTTACTTAGGAAAGCATAATGCCTCTACCCACGTACCACAGCAGTAAATGAAGGAATAACAGACCTTACATTCAACCTACAATTCTGATCTTTTAAGGAAGAGCCTACCTTTCTGACGATAAACTCTGCTCAATCWGCTATAAGTTACATGTTGTTTTAATGCTGCCATTATCAATTAGACGACTCAAGTAGTTTTTTTTTTTTTGGTACCGGAAATTTAACACGGGGTGCTTAACCACTGCAACACATCCCCAGACCTTTTTATTTTTTTTTAAACTTTGGGACAGGGTCTCCCTGGATTGCTGAGGCTGGTCTCCAACTTGCCATCCTTCTGTCTCAGCCTCCCAAACTCCACAGCGCCCAACTTATTCAGGTGTTTTATAAACATTAAAAGCAAAACTGCCCCAGAAGTAGTAAAGATGAATTACTAAGACAGTTTGAGAATTCAGAACGAGTATAAAGTTTATGGGCCACAAAATAATTTTTTTTGAAGGAACGAAGCCTTAGATTTTACACTTTAAAATGTTCAAAAGATCCTTTTAAAAGTATTAACCACCACTTAGAAAACATGCAAGCACATTCAGAGCACAATAGGGCCTATCTTCTACAGCTGACTCCTGGTGGGCTGTTGTGATGTACAAAACTCAACTAACGTTTATGTGTGAAAGAGACGACTGAGTAGACTCTTCCAAACAACTCATTAGCTTCAAAATCTTTATAGAGACAGCAATAGTTTCTAAATCTTCGCAGCCAGGTCTACTGTTAGGTTGCTTCGGTTTCTATGTCACATTTGAAAGGATTAAGTCAACTAAAGGAGACTAGACTGAGAGGGAAACTATTATATTATGGATAACTTCCTTTTCTATACCATAGAAATTCCTCTTCAATGAAGAAGGCTTTAACCTCATTATTTCCTTCTATCTGCAGCACCCCTGGCCTCCACATATCCTTCACGGTACTGTCCTCGAGATTTACCGTGTCTTCTTCAAGTACCGCTGCTTTACCCTTACCCGTCACACCAATCTCGCCTCCCCCACCCTATATTTCCCTAAACCTGCCTTTCCCCATAAAACCCCTTCTCTACTCCCCAGTCGAGAGCCCTTTCTCGCTCCTCTGCGGTAGAAASATCTAGGCCTCCTGCACTTACTGCTTTCATCCTCCTCAGGGGCAGAGGCTAAGGACGGGGACAAGGCCGGAGCCTGGGCCAAGGCAAGGGCTGGGGCTGGAGCCGAGGCCGGAGTCGGAGCCGAGGCTGGAACCGAATCTGGGGCGGGAGCTGGGACCCGAGCAGAGTCCGGGGCTGGGGTCGGGACCTGGGCCGCCTCCTCCTGCAGGGGTAGCAGCTCCTCCTCCGCCATGTTCTCCATAGTTACCGCCTCCGTGCCAGACCCGCGCGAGGACCGGGAGGGGCTCACGGCGGGGTGAGAGAACTGACGTTAAATGCCCACAGGGCTAGATCCGAGGAGTGGGGAAGCACCGGGGAGGGCGGGACGCGTGCAACCGACAAAAGACGAAGAACCAGTGACCAAACCCTGCCCGYAGGAAAAGAAAAAGCCAAAGGCAGCGAATCGAGAACCCATGAGCTTCCCGTTCCTCGAGGCGTTACGACGCCGCCACAGACTGCGTAGAAGCGTGCTGGCGCCTGCGTCCAATGGGGTGAGAGAGTTCGGTTTCCACCTAGCGCCTCCGTCCCGCCTGCAGCTGACGAACGGAGCTGAGCCTACAGCCCCCAGAGTGCATTGCGTCGCGGGGCGGGGCGAAGCCAAGCCCTCCAAGCGAGTATCTAGAGTCTAAACAGACGCAGCGGAGCGCTCGCGCGGGAGGCTGGGCCTGAGCGCAGGACTACGTTTCCCAGCGGGCGGCGGGCCTGCGGGGACCCATTCCCGGGCCTGGGCCTCCGGAGTCGCTCCTGCGGCGGGCGCTGGTAAGTGGGGATCTGGGGGTATGCTGGCCTGCCGCAGAGCAGGGTCCTCTCCGCCGTCTGCCCCCAGAACCCTAGCGGGCCGCTGCCGGAACTGGAGACGCGGGAGTGACTCGTGCCTGGGCGGAGCGACTCTGTGGGTGGATCCACGGTCGGCCCGGCGCCGTGGAGGGTGTGGTTCTAACCTGGCCCTGCCTCTRGGGCTGCCTTTCGCGGCTTGTAAGAGTCTGGGAATGGGCTGGTGGTGACCCGAATCCCCGCGGGGCCACCCAAGAAGCTACCCTGCCCGACGGCCCGGCTGACTGGGACTTGGACTCTGCTCTTCACACTCTACACCCACGTCGTGACCCCAACCCTCTCTTCCTTTAAGTTTGTTTACCTTTAGTTTTCAATAGCGCTGCGGTGTGATCGTAGATGTCCAGTACTTAGCACGTTGTTTTTTTGCCCTGTTTTGCTTTGTTTTTAGGCTTTTAATAGCCAGAGCTAAAAGCGTGTTGAGCTTTTCGGCACTTGATTGATGCATTCAGATATCTCAAGGTGTATGTCCCGTGAATCGTCCCCTTATCCCTCCATGCTTTTCTCCAATTTTACTTTCTAGCCTTACTTAGCACTCAGGGTTCCCTAGTTATTTTCCTCGCCCCCCTCCTCGGGTAAGCCCACTGGAGCAGGCAGGGCAAAAGTTTTTTTGGTTGTCCTTCCTCTGACTGGTCTGAACGTTTTGAGCTGCAGAGAAGAAGAGGGAAGCCCATTTTAGTCACAGGTACCAGACTCATACTTCCAGTTCGGTTTTCTTAGTTAACAAAGCTAAGTGCTTCTTGTGTTGTTTGTTTTATTTCCTACTTGTTTTGGAACCCAGTGGAGAGGACGCGTGATTATTTGGCACTTCGAACCCCTAACCAGAAGTTGATCTCCTCTTYCTAGTTAGGAAATATATTTGGAGGGTTTTTTGTTGTTTGTTTTAAAAATTTCCCCCAGTTTAATGGAATCACTATCCCCACGAAGCTTCTGYGAGTTATAATACTAAAGCTCCTTTAGTCCACCCCCTTTTAATTAGTATTCCTGGATATGTAGTCGACCCACTGTTTAACAGTTAATTAAAAATAGAATAAGAACACTTATTGTAAACTGTGGAAGTGCCACCTGTGTCTGTATCACTGCAACACTCAAGAATAATTAATTTTTTTTTCATTCCTAGATAATTGTTTTTCCCCTCCCCCATCCGTTCTGGGGATGGAACTCAGGGTAAGAGTACATACCAGGCAAGTACTCTTACTACTGAGCAACATCCCCCCCCACACCCAATCAATCTCTAAAAGACTAGATGGTTATTGTTACTTTTATTCAGTATGTCATCTTCATCATTTAAGACCAGCAGGAAACCAGATGATGAAAAGGATTTGATATTAGCCTGTGTGGTCTTTCAGAATTTTAATAAAAATTGCTAAGCGTGAAGGAATTTTCAAAGTTGAATTACACTAAGGAAATGTRCTGTTCATTGGTAGCTGCATGTTATCCCAAAACTTAGTGGCTTAACACAATAATATTTATCACTCTAAAGTTTCTGTGGGTCAAAAATTCAGAAATGGCCTTTGAGTGGATCTGACTTGTCTTTGATGAAGCTACAGTGAAGATATCTCTGACCGGGATGTGAAGATATGATAGGGCTACAGGATRTTTCAAAGGTAGCTCACTTACATGCATGGCAGTTGGTTCTGGTTGTTGGCAACAGGCCTCCATTCTTCTCTAGTGGGCCTTTCCCTGGACTGCTTCAGTGTCACTTAAGACATAGTGTCATTCCCTAGATTGATCAATCCAAAATAGCAAGACAGAAGTCACAGTGTCTTATATGACTTAGTCTTAAGCCACCATGTGGCAGCATCCTATTGGTTACACAGGTCAGCCCTGTTCCTTATGGAGGGGACTACTGAGAGTATGATTGCCAAGCAGCAGGAATCCTGGATAGCCATCTAGGTGAAGGCCCACATGGGGAGTCCCCCTCAGTTTGTTTTTATTTGCATAAAATCAATATGAATCTCAGACTAATGTAAATGGAAAACATTTGTCACAGTAAACATTTAGATGTTTTTTGTTGGATAGTCCACTGTCTGCAGTGTCTTATAGGTAAGAGGTTTAAATTGGTATTGGGGTATCCACAGCAACAATAATAGACCAGCATGATAAGTTAAAATTGTAAAAGGAAACTTTATAATCAGTCAGTTGCTCCTAAGCAATGTCTTTAATGGAATGTCTTTAAGTTATGTTGCCCCAGGTTGGCCAGGAACTCCTGGGCTTAAGCCATCCTTCTGCCTTAGCCTGGGACTACCTTTAGCCAACACCATGCTAGGCTGCAGGTCCCCCGTCACCCCCCCCTCCCCCGCAGTTGTGCATTTCCTTCCTCACCTGTGGAATGGAATCCTTGAGACAAGAAAGGGTTAAGATTACTGCTGGAAGGTCAACTGTGAATTCAACCGTTACCATAATTATCTTACAAAGGAAAAATTGGGGGTAATTTAGTATTTGTTCTTAGAAGTTGTATTGAATATTCTGTAACCAAAAACTGGGTCCTTGACCCCAAATGCCAATTAATGCTAATTTAATAATGAGAAAAAGGAAAAAAGTTGTTTTATTGCTTTGCTAGCAAAGGAGAAACATCAGGAATCCTGTCCCTGAGGCTGTGATTCTCACTGTCAGGAGGGACAGGGTGGGGTGGGGTGGAAGGTGCTGGTTTTAAAGGAACTCTTCTAAGGTTACATTCCAGATGWGCTCTGGTAGGGGGTCCCTGGGCACTCTGTTGGCACATAGGGATTCACTTGTTAATTTGGGAGATATTAATTTCCCAGATCCTCTGCAGGCATTTCCTTCCCATAGTGAGTGAGTTCAAGGACAGTTAACTAGGAGAAGAAAAGATAACACTGTCTCCCTAATCTTTTTAGGGACGTGGGAAAGGGGAGAAGACCTAAAAAACAAACAAATAAACAAACAAACAAATGTTCTTTAAAAAAAATAAGCCTTGGAACAACAAGGGCTATATTAAGAAGTTGAAGGGACCACTGTTAAAATTCATTTGCTAATTTTTCTTATTAGATTTCCAGTTAGCTATTAACATTTTCTTCTTGATATTCATTAAATCATTCTAAAAATTTCAGTATAATTGGTCATTTTTTTTGGTAGAAGTTCAGCTATTCCCATTATGGTGAAATTGCCTGGTTTCTAGCCTTTGTTATGTTCACAATCTCAATATGTGTCACTGCCAGCTATTAATTGTTCTTCGGGTTTTGCTTCTAGATCCTTTTTCTTTATTCCTGCCCCAACAGACCTGTCTATGTTCCCAATCCCTAGCCACTGTGTCCTAGTGCGAGATGCTGCTCTGTGCTGCTGGAGCACACTAATTTGAAATGTTTGTGACTGCAAGGTGTGGCTGTGTGTGCCTTCTACCCCKCCCCTTTTGATTATCAGCTTCTAGCCACCCCCCTTTGGTTATCAGCTAACAGTAGTGAGTGTGTTCTAGAGCAATTAACTAGGGGAAGAAAGGATAACACTGTTATCTTCTCCCTTCTTCCCCTCCCTAACAAGATTAGACTTGGTCTAGAGTATGAATGGAGAAGTAAAATTGAGATGGAAAGTGGACAGAGGAACTGCAGTAGGCAGGAGTTGGGAGTGTAATCACAAAATGATAGATGCAGACCTTTATAGATTCAGTGAAGCTGTTTATTCAGCTCAGGCACCTTGGGGCTCATTTTCTGGATGTGAAAATAGCTTTTGGTTACAGAGGGGATTTTAGTTTTATAGTGTACAGTGAGGTGGTTTAATCATTGGACACTGTGGACTTGCCCTTTGGACAGTCGGGGGCTAGTTGTGTAGGTTAAATCTTTAACTCAGGAAGGCAGTTGTAAAAARGTTGAAACTCATTGTTACCTGGAGAGATAGTAGTGCAGATTCCAAGATCAGTACTCAGATCTTGCCCACTGGTTTTCTTTTTCTSGGATTTCCTAGAGTTTCGATATTTGCTGTGCCTCCATTTAGGACTAATTTGCAGTGGGAGAAAAGTCAAAATACAAAGCCCAGCACTTAGTATCCGCCTGCTTCCTTCAGTGCCTGTTGTTTTTGGGAAAGGATTTACTAGGAGAAGTTAATGCTAATTTCCCCTGCCTCCTCCTGAGCTGCACTGTAACCCTTCAGGAAGTGGCTCAGAATGAGTGAATATTCTGAGGAAGAAGAATTCATCCAGGCATTCACTCAGCAGGCATTTACAGGCATCTCCCAAGTTTTTCATACAGTGTATTTTTCTTGGTGCTCTATGTCTAGTAGAAAGACAAACCACATAAGTATTTATTTAGACCCCACTATGTACCACCCTGTGCAAGCTGTGTTTTATATCCATTATTTCATTTGACTCTCTCAAAAAGGTTGAGTTGTCTTTGTTTTTATATGTAATGAAAGTAGCACTCAAAGGATTATGCAATTTGCCCTTAGCCTCACTTACTGAGTGACAGAGGGTGTGTCTGGGAAACTGAGAATTTATGACTAATTGGTTTTGAGGTATAGAAGTGCTAAAATATAGTCCTGCAGGCAGTTGAAAATGGTGATCTGATATTTCAGGGACAAGTCAGGGTTTATGGCATAGTTTTGAGATTCATTCCTGAAAAGTCGATGAATAACGCTGAAATAGAGGAGCAACTTCTCATGAAAGAGAATGTTAAGTGAATGAAAGTGAAACAGTGAGAGAATCTTGTCATCTTGAGAATGACTAGAAAATGGAAATAATTTTGTAAAACTCCAATCTTCATATAACAGAAAGAAGAATAATTTTTAATGTACTTTTTATTTGGTAAACAACACATAATATATTTTTAATTTTTATTTTAGCTTTTCAAGATGTCCAATAAAGAATCTTATGGAAAAGAAGAAAAGTCTCAAAGAAAAGGCACTACCTTATTGCCAATCTTTGATGAAGAAGTAAGAATTTTGATTTAATGACTTTTTTTTACAATTTAATTTTGTGAGATGAAAAAAATATACCTTACTTTTACAATGAGATATGTAAATATTTTGTTCTGTCCATTTGACCTGGGAGACGTCATTTGCTTTTCTCATTCTTTACTTGCATTATTTTATTTATTCCTCGAAAATCTATGATGTAGTTACTGTTAATTACCTCAGTTATACAAATTAAGGAATTAAGCTTTAGAACTGTGTGCGGTGGTGCATGCCTGTAATCCCAGCTCTATTGCAAGTTCCAGGCCGGCCTGGGCAATGTAGCAAGACCCTGTCTCAAAATTTTAAAAAATTTAAAGAAGAGCTGGGGTTTAATTCGGTACATGAGACTCTGGATTAATCCCCAGTACTAAAGGAAAAAAAAAAAAAAAAAGAAGAAAAAAAAGAAAGAAATTGAGGCTTAGAGTTTAGTTACTCAGGGAATGTAATTTGCCTATACATTCCTGACTTCCCTTTTAAGTCTCCTAAATCCTCATATGTATAATAATAAGTCCATTAGACAATTTCCCACATTTTCTTCCTTTTCCTTCTTCTCAGCATTGCTTGGGATTGTACTCTTTTTTGGGGTGTGTGTAATGTTTTGGAGGTGGGGTGTRTAATGTTTACTGGGGATTGAATTCATGAGCACCACTGAGCCACATGCCTAGCCCAATTTGGTATTTTATTTAGAGACAGGGTCTCACTGAGTTGCTTAGCATCTCACTGTTGCTGAGGCTGGCTTTGAACTTGAGATCCTCCTGTCTCAGTCTCCAGAGTCACTGTGATTATAGGTGTGCACCACTGAGTCTGACTCATTCCAATGATTTCTCAGTTGATCTCCTTGCCTCTTTCTTTGCAGCCTCATGGTCTATTCTTTTTTTTTTTTTTGCAATCAAAAGATAATTTTATCTCCTACCAAACCTTAGAAGTGCATAAAGTGAAGAAATCCTGCCTTGCTTCTAAATGAAAACTAGCAGGCTCATGGTTTTTCTCTCACATTTACATGATAGACTTGAGGTAACRTACAGTTTCAACTCAGCAATCAGCCAGTCCAAGGTGTTACTTTGAGTTTTGATTTTGACACCAGCTCTACCCCAGATCAGGCCTGTGCTTCACCTGGAAACCCAAAGGGCAAGAGTTTCCTCCTCCTTTCTTCTCCTGGTTCTGCTACTGCTCAACGCTAGTTCACCAGCCAGATTCTGACCCTGCATCATTGTCTGTTCTTAACATAGCCGTCAGTATGGTCCTATGAATTAGCAATAATCATGCCTCTGATAAACCTCATTGGTTATAATACTGCCACTTCACAAAGCTGTAGTATGGTCCTATTAAAATTTAAGTCAGATCATGTCACTCTAGCTGCATTGGTTTTCCATGCCATCCAGAGTAAAGCTAAAGTCCTTGTTGGGGCTGCCAAAACCACCAGCTCTCCCCATGTTATCTCCTCATCACTATTCCCTTTGCTCTTCACCCCATGGCTTCCTTTTTATTGCTCCAGCAAGCTAGACACATTCCTGCTTCTGGGGCTTTGCCTTTTCTTGTATTCCTTTGAATTGAACACTCTTTCTCCAGGTATTCACATGGTTTATTTCTTCACTTCATTTAGGTCTCCATTCAGATGTCAGTTTATCAAGTGGTATTTTCTGACAACTCTATAAAATTGCAACTCCCCCTTCCAGCTCCCAGCCTTTCCTATCCTCTTTCTCTGCATAGTTTTATTCCATAGCATAATATAACACACTAAATATATTGCTTATTTATTTATAAATTCCTTTASTAGATTTTAATCTTTATGGAGACAGGGGATTTTGTTATTATTATTATTATTTTAATTACTCTCTGCCCACTGTCTGGTATGTCTTTGGTACATGATAGGTGTTAACCTGTTAACATAACTATAGGCTGACTTGAAAGTTAGGTCAAGCTGACCCCATTCTGCCCAGATACTTCACGCTGCCCCCCACCTTCCTGCAAGAGCCCACTCACATAGAAGCTGATACCCCGGCCCACCTGCACTCTCACCACAATGCTCACAGACATTAGCCTACTTTCCAAGTATATACAGAGGCTGCCAGTTCTGGGAACTTGGCAGCCATGTGCTTGCCCCTCCTGTCCCCTCCCCTTGTGGTTTTGGGGTTTTGAATCTTGCTCTTTACCTGCAACAGCAAGGGCTAAACCCTCCCCTAATGCATAACCTAGATTCTGACTTATAAAAGTTTGGCTCAAAGGAAATCTGCTGCTGTTGTCTCTGCACAGAGGCAGCCTGTCAGATTCTGGACAATAAATCTGCTTTTGCTTAGCCTTGGTGTGTCAGAGTGGTCAGTCCTGCACCCAGTTTCCTTTGAGTAGGTACTGCAAACAAGGTTTTCCTTGGCCTATTGAATTCAAGATCCAGAGAAAAATAACAAATGTATGTTTTTTACTTTGTAGAAGACTGATTCCCACCATGGCAGTGCCACCTTACAGCATTATTACCTGAGCTGCTTGCTCTTACACCTGTATCCATCTCATAAGAGCCCCCATAGCTTTATGATTTCTTGTTAAATCTTCCTTCCAGTTGAGTCTCCTTTTTTTTCTTACCAAAGTTTATACTTCTTTAAATGTTATTCTCAAGTTCAGTATGGAATGGGAATATCAATTTATAATAATGGTGAAATAATACTCTTTTATATTGTTTTTCTCTCTTTTTCCCCCCCCCCAAATGGCATTCTTAGGACAAGAAAAAGAAAAACACCTCAGCAAGTTCTACTAGTTCAGTATACTCTGTGAAATCAGTTACATCCGAGAGTAGGAAACTGGTGAGTGTTTAGATATCATAATTAAATAAAATTATGTCTATTAAATTTATTTATTCATTTATTTTTAAAGGATCTCACTATATTCCCCAGGCTTGCCTGGAATTTTTAGGCTCAAGCTTTTCTCCTGTCTCAGCCTCCTGAATACTGGGATTACAGGCATGTGCTATTGTATCAGGCTATGTTAAAGTTTTAATATACAGTTAGAAGGTTTTCTCTTATACTCGTTGATGGCCAGTTATTGACATCTATCCAAGTTGGCGACATATGCTGGGTTCACAGAACTTGACTGTTCCAATAATTTAATGTGGGAGTAACTTTTGCTTGCAGCTAGCAGCTACGAGTAGCTCAGAGTGCTAGGACAACCTAGGCTCATACAGGCCTGACGGGCATACCTGTAGGATGGGGCACTCTGCTCTAGCRAGCCGTTGAACAAAACCACATCCTCAGTGATTGACGTTAGTGTTGCCAGGGAACTGAGAGACAAGATCTTCAGGGCCTGATTCCCCCAACTCATAAGGCCCCCTTTCATAGGGACAATGATCCTTCCAGACAGCCTTCTACTACTTCGCAATATCTAGAGCTTCCTCATAGTGCAGTTACATTGATCATAAGATGATTGGTTTCTAAATGTTAGGTAACCTTGCTTATGTATGATTGAAGGATGCACCCTATATCAGTTGTAACCTCTTCCACATTAAACGAGCTTGCTGGAGGTCTGCCACTCTGCATGTTCTCACCAGCTCCCAGTGTTTATGTCTTGACTCTGCGTCCATACTCTCTGCAACTGAGTGTAGCTAAGGGACCCATAACAACAATTTAACAGCAAAGAAAGCTCGCAAACACACAGAAGTACCTTTTCAAAATCTGGGGATGACTCTGTGACCTTAGGGTTCCTTGGAAAGAGAGTGAGCCACTGGAGTTCTTTATTCTTATATAGGAGACACACAAGTGGAGGTTCCATGGAACATTCTATCCCCAAAAGGGCAAAGGTGTAGAATTACAAAGGAACAGGTGGGTATAATTCAACCCCTTCGGGTGACACCCACTCCTGGAGCCACATCTTCCTTATCTAAGTGTGGAGGCAAAACCCAGTGTATTATGGGGTGCAATTACTCTTCAGTACCCCTTTATTCAAGACTTAAAGGTGTGCACATATCTTCTGTCCAGAGTGGCTCCCAACAGCCAGTGGAACACCAATGTCTGTTTTTACTTCTTCCTTCTACTCACCAAAAAGCATTTTTCAGGTTGTATCTTGTTCCATTGTAGTTTGGTTTGTTTCTTTTTTTAATCTTAGATTTGCTTATAAATAGATTATACACCATAAATGTTCCTTTCTAGTAATGGAAACCTTTTGGTATTGGAGTCTGTGTTTTCAGATTTTAAAATAGCATGTTGAAATTTGCAAAAGCTGCTGCTAAACTTCACTGAGAATGTTATTGGGAGTTCTTTTTATTCTTCAACTTTCTTTTCTCTTGCCCTTTTTCAGCTATGCATTCTTGTTCCAGTTTAACTATAATTTTATGAGATCACTATCATAAGTAGTCTCAATGTCTGAAGTGTCATGTGACACATGACTATAAGTAAACTATTGTTTCAGTTTTTTTTTTTTTTTTTTGCCCCTCCAATGTTGGGATTAAATCAGGGCCATTCAGATACCACTGAACTGTATCTCTAGCCTTTTTATTTTTTATTTTGATAGAGGGTCTCCCTAAGTTGCCCAGGCTGCCCTTGAATTTGTGATTCTCCTGCCTTACCCTCCCAGGTTGCTGGGATTAGAGATGTGTACCATCAAGCTTGGCTCATTTTATTGTTTTTGTTTTGTTTTTGGTGCTGAGGATTGAACCCAGGATCTTGTGCATGCTTAGCACAGACTCTACCACTGAACTACATTACAAGCCTCCGGATTTCTTAAAATATTAATTTTATTACGTTTGGTCTATACAGAAAGATCTTCATTTACTGTTTAGTTTGTCATTTAGGACTCTCAAATTTGGTTGCATCTTTTAAAATTTTTTAATTGATTCTTTTTASTTATACATGATAGTAGAATCCATTCTGATATAATTATATAAGCATGGAATATATTTTATTCTAATTAGGACCCATTCTTGTGGATGTACACAATGGTGAGATTCACTGTGGCATATTCATATATGTACATAAGAGAATTATATTAGATTCATCCACTATCTTTCCTTTTCCTATCCTCCTCCCTTCCTTTCGTTCCCCTTTGTCTGATCTACTGAATTTCTGTTTTCTGTCCCATCCCCCCACTGTGTGTTAGCTTGCACATATCAGTGAAAATGTTTGACCTTGGGTTTTTGAGATTGGTGTATTTCAGTTAGTCTCCATATCCATCCATTTTTTTGGCAAATGTCACAAAGTCATTGTTCTTAATGGCTGAATAAAATTCCATTGTGTATATATACATTTTCTTTATTCATCTGTCTGYTGAAGGGCACCTAGGTTGGTTTCATAGCTTAGCTATTGTGAATTGTGCTTCTATAAACATTGACGTGGTTGCTTCACTGGAATATGGATTATATTTTTTTACATTTTTTTTTTCATTATGTGTTATTTATTCTAGTTGTCGAAGGACCTTTATTTTGTATTTATTTATATGTAGTGCTGAGAATCAAACCCAGTGCCTCACACATGCCAGGCAAGCGCTCTACCACTGAGCCACAACCCCAACCCAAGTATGCTGATTTTAAATCCTTTGGATGTTTACTGAGGAGTTGGATAACTGGGTCAAATGGTGGTTCCTTTCCTAGTTTTTTGAGGAATCTCCATGCTGCTTTCCAGAGTGGTTGCACCATTTTCAGTCTCACCAGCAATGTATGAGTGCATCTTTCTCCCCACATTGTTACTTGCATTTTTTAAAAAATATTTTTTTACTTGTAGATGGACACAATATCTTTATTTATTTTTAATGTGGTAYTGAGGATCAAACCTAGGGCCTCACCCATGTGAGACAAGTACTCTACCACTGAGCTACAACCCCAGTCTGTTACTTGTATTCTTGATAATTGCAGTCTGATTGGAGTAAGATAGACTCTCAACATAGTTTTAATTTGTATTTCTCTAACTGCTAGAGAAGTTGAATACTTTTTCATATATTTGTTAGTTGTGTTTCTTCTTTTGAGAAGTGTCTGTTCAGTTCCTTTGCCCATTTATTTATTGGATTATTTGTGTTTTTTGGTGTTAAGTTTTTTGAGTTCTTTGTATATTCTGGAAGTGAATGCCCTGAGATGCAGGTGCAGTGATTTTCTCCCATTCTGTAGGCTTTCTCTTCATGTTCTTAAAATGTTTTCTATGTTGTGAAGAAGCTTTTTAATTTGATGCCATCCCATTTATTGATTTTTGATTTTGCTTCTTGTGCTTTAGGAGTCTTGTTAAAGAAGTCAGTTCCTGAGCTGATATGTTGGAGTGTTGGACCTACATTTTCTTTTAGTATATGCAGGGTTTCTGGTTTAATTCCTGGGTCTTTGAACCACTTTTGAGTTGAGTTTTGTGCAGGGGTGAGATAGGGGTTAAATTTCATCGTACTACATATGGATTTCCAGTTTTCCTGACATCATTTATTGAGAGGCTATCTTTTCTCCAATGTATGTTTTTGGCACTTTTGTCTAGTGTGAGGTCTCTGTATTTGTGTGGGTTTGTCTCTGTGTCTTCTGTTTTGTTTCATGGTCTTATGTCTGTTTTAGTGCGAATACTATGCTGTTTTTATTACTATAATTCTGTAGTATAATTTAAGGTGTGGTATTGTGATGCCTCCAGCTTTGCTTTTCTTGCTAAGGATTGCTGTGGCTATTCTTGTCCTCTTAATTTTTCAAATGAAATTTCATGACTGTTTCCTTCCTTCCTTCCTTCCACTTCCTTCCTTCCTTCCTTCCTTCCTTCCTTCCTTCCTTTCTTCTTTCCTTTTGTAATTTCAACACAATACCTTTATTTTATTTATTTTTATGTGGTGCTGAGGATTTAACTAACCAGGGCCTCACACATGCTAGGATAGTGTTCTATCACTGAGCTACAACTCCCGCTCCGTTTTTTCTATTTCTATGAAGAATATCATTGGAATTTTGATGGGAATTGTATGTAATCTATATAGTACCTTTGGTAGTATGGCTATTTTTACAGTATTAATTCTGCCAATCCAAGAACATGGGAGGTCCTTCTATCTTCTAAAGTCGTCWTCTATTTCTTTCTTTAGTGTTCTATAGTTTTTATCATAGAGGTCCTTCACCTCTTGTTAGTTTGATTCCCAAGTAATTTTTTTTGAGGCTATTGGTAATGGGATGGTTTTCCTAATTTTTCTTTAAGCTAATTAATCATTGGAGTATAGGAACACAATTAGTTTATAGGTGTTCATTTTTGTATTCTGCTACTTTGTTGAATTCATTTGAGTTCTAGGAGTTTTATGGTGAAATTTTTTGGTCTTTWATAGGATCATGTCATCAGCAAACCGATATATTTTCAGCTCTTCTTTTCCTATTCAAATCCCTTTAATTTTTTTCTTTTGCCTAATTGCTTTAGTGAGAGTTTTAAGGACTATGTTGAATAGAAGTGGTAAATGTGGGCATCCCTGTCGTGTTTTTAGAGGGAATGCTTTCCATTTGGTTGCATCTTAACTAATTTTTTTTTCTGTTTTCCTTCTACCTCTAAGTAGGCTCGTTTATTTTCTCTTAGTTGAAAATTTATGTCACTTGTTTTCTTTTAATCTCCATCTTCATCTATTCTTCTTCTTTTTGCAGTACTTGGGATTGAATCCAAGTGTGCTGTCCCACCAAGCTCCATCCTCAGACCCTTCTCTACTCTGGGTGCTGGGAATTGAACCCAGAGGCACTTTACCAGGGCACCATACCCCAACCTTTTTTATTTTTTGAGACAGGGTCTTTCTAAGTTACCCAGGGTGGCTTCAAAGTTGCAGTCCCTCTGCCTCATCCCAAGTAACTGAGATTACAGGTGTGCAACTCCATGCTCAGCTATTTTTCAGGCTT